TCCCTACCACTTAATTCTTCTGAAGTGTCACACAGCAATTTGTAGAAGTCTTTAAAACTGATTTAGTAATGAAACCTTCAAAGAACTCTGCAATGATACAAGATTATGTCGTTCCTTATCTGTTATCCGTGGGCTCCAATATCAACCTAAACCTATAGCAAGTGTTTATCCTATTTCTGTTACTTAGAAATTTAACTTATCATTCATACCAGTTAGATTTTCAAGAACAAGTATCAAAATACCAGATTGTTTTCCACATCTTTGTGAACTCTGAAAGTAGGAAATTTTCTGCTTCAGGTTTGTAAAATGGTTGCCTACTGGGAGGAGGCAGCTTAATCTAATGCCTAAGATGCTGTGTGGCTCTTGATCCTTGTGCCCTGGTGCCCATAGTGCCAGTTCCAGGAGCTATGGGCACCAGGGCACAAGGACATACGGATGTCTTTCCAGGAACCAGCTTTGATCTTGCAGCGATGATGTTGGATTGAAACTAATTGGCCCTGATAGATTCAAGCTGATTCCATATGGTTAGCATCCCAGAACTGGGCACCATAGTACCTTTGCTAATGCCTGAACTAGCAGAATTTTCTATTAACTGAGATACTCCAGAAGCTAGCCTTCCTTTTATATAGGTTTAGGTTCCAAACAGACCTCTAGGGAAAAATACAGAAACCCCACCACCACTTTGCTTTAATGGAACTTTTCCACTTGCTTTACTTTGCTTCCAGTGACTATGCACATTTGTAAACATGTCTCATACCTGTGGTCTGCCAGTGAAACTTGCTGCAAATAGAAAAAAAACCAAAAGAAAGTTAGAAATTTAAACAATTCCGCACCTTGGCAGTTTAAAAACAAAGCAAGTGTCAGGAAAAGATGTACTATAGAAGAACAGAAAGACTCCAAACCTTAAAAAAGTAAACATTTAACTAGAAGTGTGTTGTAATGGTCTAGACATATAACTTTCTTTGCAAATTTATTTTTCTTGTAACAAATACATTATGAATATATAGATGACATGATTTTTTTCCTTTTTCACCACTTGTGACCATATAGATCTACAAGTGCTGGATTATAATACCATCCGTTCAAAATGCTCTGTTCTGGAACTCGCTCGGATGCAAAGGCAAGAATTCTGCCCAATGTTGCACACCTGCCTAGTTCTGAGGACCAACCTCAAACAAGGAAGGAAAGAAGCATTACATCCATTATCAAAGGATCTGGGGACCCAAAAAACCCCACCACATTAAGAGAAGTGCTGGCCTTACTATAGGAATAATTGCTTCATAAGGGATATTTCAAATAAGTAAAAATACTGATTTCAAGATTAATTATTACTTGAAATCCATAAAACCAAATACAGCAAATAAGACAACTAGCTTTATTTTACAGATAAAAATAATCTAAATAAGGCTCAAATGCTAATAACTGTCCTTATGAAAGCTGTGGGCAAGTTAGGAGAGACCAGTAGTGATGAGGTGAAAAAACAGGGTTTTTTGTTGTTGTTAGTGGACATGATATCTTGAACATGACGGCTGTTCTAATAAAATTTACCTTGGGTATAATTAAAAAAGGGTAAGGTTATTATTTTTTAAGGTCAAGAACACAGCGATGCTCTTAAAACAGATTGCCTAAGGACTCTGTGGAGTCTGTGTCATAGGAAGTGTTACAGAACAGGTTAAACAATTGTCCATCCAGAAAGACAGATCCATCTCAGATGGCCACAGGAAAAGATGATGGACTAGATGGTCTGTCATGGTCTTCCCTAGAAAAACTGATGGAGTTTAATGCATTCTGTTGGGAAGGCCAGATTAATAATCCTCATTCCAGGCTTCTAAAACAATATATGAAGGTTACGTGGTTAAAAAAAATATACTCGTAGTAAATCTCCCAAGTCAGAGATACTATAGAATGACTGAAGAAGAGCAAACATAGCTTGTACCTACTAATTAGGGCATGCTGGTTTGATGTGATCTCTGCAACAGCATGTCAATGACAAAGGGGAAAATCACATTAAATTTGGAACTTTGACTTCTTTTAATATTAAATGCTCAGAAATGCTTCACAATATGAAAGGATGTGGGGCCGCAGTTTTCACTTGCAGTCCCCTCCTGCCTCATTCAGCATATTGTTTTATGGATATCAGATTTTTTTGCGTGTTTCCTGGTCGCAGAGAGCAGTCATCATTATCAAGCTTGCCCTGGCACAGGAAAGCAAGGGACTATTTCTGCAAATTTGCTGTAAATTCATTTGGGCCAAAGATCTAGTAACTGCTGTGCTGCTTGTACACGCAAGAGAGGAATTTGCAACGAGAATTGGTACTTGACTTACATTTTCTACTGATTTGTATACGTATAGATCCTTGAGTTGTGCTGAGTAGCTCCACTAGCTGTTGACTTCAAGAAGAGATGCTCCTTAGAATCAAATCCTTAATTTGCAAAGCGATGGGCTCTGAACTATTGAACTCACTGAAAATCTCAAAGGACAGCTGAAACAAAACCTTTTTTGCTAGATCCTAATTTGCTTTCTCAAACTGTGCAAAGTACATCTTCTGTGATGCAGTTCTTCACAGCCAAGTAACGTACGCGCAAGAGATAAAAGGGATATTTTAACTGGGTTTACCAAATTTATGAACGAGAATAGAATTCAATCTTGGTGCTTCCAAAAGGACTGGGCATGAACCCTCCCACTCACTTGTGCCTTTTAAAACTGACCATCATTACACATTTCATTTGAAAGAACTCATGAAAGTTTAAGAAAATATCAAAGTTTTCACAGCTGTGTTTCTAAGACAAAAGAGCTGAAAGTGAAGATAGATATAGATATATATATATGTGTATGCATGTTTAAAAAAAAAAACAAACTAAATACATTACTAAAAGTTGCTACTTCACCTCCCTTGCCAAAAGCAACAATCTGTGTGAAATACTGCTGGAACCAGAGCGATAGCTGCTCACTCTTATAAATGCAGTGACACTCTGGAAGGAACAGGATCAGTGGAAACGTACATCAGCCGATATAAGCCATCCATAGGAAACTAATTGATTTTCCTTTTGATCTCTCTTTAATAGTCACTGAATAAAATATCAAATTTCAATGCATTTAAGCAGGGAAAGGTGTTATGTGATGTGTTAACAGTTATTTCCTCTGGTCAATTAGTTCGATAATTAGTTCAGGCGTCAGGATTGGGCTATGACCCTCCTGTTGCTTAAGGCCTTTTTTTCAAGTTTTATTAGAGAAACAGCATTCAGAATTTCTGGATCTACATTCACTTGAGTTCTACATAATGTTTCTATCAGCAGCTAAAGGAATTCTAGGTCTCTTTTCCCCCATGTGGGAAAATTCCATGTGGAGCTATAGGTTTTTCTTCTAGTGAATCACTTCCTCTTAAGACATGAGAACATTTGTTTATTTACCTTCACAAATAGTGTCTATTGAGAAACTTTAAAGAACAGAATTATGTAGCTTGCATATCTGGACATGGAATGTCATCAGAGAGAAGATTTTTTTCATAGTCAATACCACAAGAATGACTTTTTTCTTCAAAAGACTGCCTCAAATTCAGTATTATTCTCAGAGACATATTTTGTTACACTTACAGCAGCAAGCTGGAAATGTGCTGTTGATTTGCTCCATAACATCTGTTAGATCTGTGTTGGTATCATGAGGTGGAACTAACAAGTCATCTGCAGATATGACAACAAAAAAGAGCAATGATGAGGAGGAAAAAAAAAAAAAAAAAGGACAACAACATTCTGAAAGGCATTCTCATCAAACCTCCCACTTAAATGCTCCTTTCTATTTCAAGGGAAACCAGTACCTGAAGCCTTTGTAACTTAGTGTGCAGGAATTGTCATTGATAACTGCCAGCCTTGGGAGAAGAGGTGAAAGTTACATTATTGATTTGCAGCAGAACTCATTTCTCTTTTATTAAAGCTTAACCATTGCACCAAAGATTTAACTAGAAGAAATTGGCAAGAAGGAGCAGAATATAAGAATTTACAGTTAAAATGAATAAAAGGTTTACAAGATGAGGGAATTATACTCAGTAGCTGCTCAATTAAAATTCTGTTCCATTTTCAGAAGATTTGTCATATAACTTTCAGAATGAATACACTATTCTTTTTCTGGAAAAAAAAATTACCTTATAGATGGTCTTTATTCAATATGCACCAGCAATTTCACTAGTGTGAAAATCCTCCTTGCCATTTTTTTTTTTCTAAATGCTACTTAAAATTAGCCAAGCAAGTGGTTTGGGAATACAACTGGCTCGGTTCCTGGCAGTGTTATTAAACAGCATCTCTCATAAATCTACCATTGCATTAAATCAGACTTGAAGAAGTTCCATGTTTTTCCAGATAAATTAAACTAAAAACATATGTCAATACTGAATGAAAACTTTTCAGTATGCAAGAGAATATTTTTCCTGTTTTCCACACAAATAAAACCATTTTTTAAATTTATAACACAAAAGCTTGAAAATAAAAATGGGGAAAATTGCACTTAAGATAATTTGAGAAAAGTCTCCCCCCCCCGCCCCCGATTTTGAGCATTCAATGGGTCTCAGTTATTTCTGCTAATTCTCAGTGGAATTCATGAGTTCTGATATTGGAAAATTTAAAATAATCTTTCAAGAGAGAAATTCCATCATGTGCAGAGGCTGTATACTTAAATATTCAATAATTCCTAAAGATGTGAAATCTGGAAGGGTGGGGTCATCAAAATACCAGGATAAGCAAAGGATACACAAGAATTTTTAAAGCAGCCACCAGGAAGTTTTGATTACATGTTTTGGACATTTATTCCTGTATCTGACAGATTACTTGGATACATGCATGTACTGTAGGACAAACAGCTGTTGGCCATTTCAGTCCAAAGAAATCTGGTTCCCCCTTCACTGAGGATAGACTTGCCCAGTAAATACCCTTGCTCAAAATGGACGGGACCAAGGACTCTATTGACAGAAATCCATAATTCAGTGTCACATGGATTCTTGTGATACTACAGCTGTTTGCAAGTGTGGGGAAGCAACAGCTCCAGCTGCAGTAAGTCTTGTTCCCAGTAGCATCACAAAGATCAGTTCCTTTTTATTTGTAAGTCTTTTCAGAAGCATGCCAACAAACCTATTTAGTAGTCGCCTACAGGCCCATGCAGCACATTATCTGATCAAAACACTTACCTGTCTGATGAAACTCTGAGCTCGTCTCTTGTTCGAGCGGGTAGCCGAGGGCAGAGTGCTGGGGTGAAGCACAAGGGGAGGCGCCGTTAACCTGGGAGTCTGACTCGGGCTACATTAAAGACAATAATACCCAAATTTAGATAAATTGCATCTACAGAATTTAAGTGCAGGCTTCTATGCAGTCATCCTGCTCCTTTCCTCTTTTATATGCTCTTTCTTGTTTGTTCAAGGCTCTCAGTCCAGCTGTGCAGAAAGACCACACAGTGGTATTACTGGGGTTGTATATATATGTATGGATATATACATACATATACACATACACAGAGGACATTCAGCTAACGTCCCCTAAGAAGCTTTACTATGACGACTGTTCATGCTTAGAAACAACTGTTCAGTCATGAACAGTTTTGCAAAACTCCTTCACAATCAAGCCGAGTGAAGACACAAGACTCAAGAGAACTTTGTTAACTCTAAAAAGCGGTAGCCAGCCATCACTTCTGCTGATGCTGCTTCTCAGTAGTGTGGAGGACACCAAATTTTCAGGAAAACTATGTACTATGTAATCTCCAGAACATTATGAGAAGGAACTCATATACTTTGAAAACTGTGTTGTAGGCAAGCCTTTCTGGACTCTTAAATTCACCTGAAGAATCAAATGCAGAAGTTCTGTGTTACATTCAGTTGTAACCATGCATCTGCTTGAGATTATATATAAGTATACATATATGGGCACAAAATAAGAAAAGACAGTGAGACTTCAGAATAACAATTCAGAAATATTGTAAGGTCTTGTTCAGGCATTTTTTTTTTCCTCTTTTCCTTCTTTTTTGTAAGAAATCCTCTGAGGAAGAAAGTAGTGATACACTATTTGAACTCCAGAAGTGATTGTTCTGAAAAGACAGAAGCACATGTAATAGTATTTACATCTGAGGCAGTTATAAAATCCTAGCTGAAATGGTTGCCCCTATCAATTTTTGATTGCAAATCATCAAATTACTTCCAAACAGCTTAAAAAGCAGATTATTTAAGGAAATCTGTCAAAAGCAGATACACAAGCAATACAAAAATATAATTACTTTTAAGATCTTTTTCAAACTGAGACTGAATAAGTATCTAGAACAGCTATGAGACTCAATGCAAAGATGTAATATACAGAATGGCAGTTAATTTGTGCACAGATTTTCTCCTTTGCAGCTCACAGTCTTAAGTGCAACATTCAATTTTTTGAGACAACTTCCAGTGTAAAAAAAAAAAATCTTCAACTATGCTGAAGATTGTTGAACAATGAAAGATACTTTTTCTTCCATACACAGTGGTGAGAAATAGAAGGAAATGTTCCCTTGAGCACTCAGCAAATCTTTTTTTTCTCCTCCAAATCTCATCTCTCTTTCAGCATGACAACACCAACAAAACTTCCAGCTTTGACTAAAAGAATAAATTGAGAAATATTGCTCTGCATATAGAAGACAAAGAAAAATGGAAATGTTTTCAAGCCACCGAAGGATTTTACCGTTACGACACTCCTATGAACAGCGAATGCCTATCAAGTAGTTACATAATTTGCTATTCGGTATCAGGCTTAAACCCAGCTACGGGGGCTAGGTAAAATGAGTGTGGTGATTTTAAATGGGCCAGGCCTGGGGTAACTAACCCCAGGTAATTCTGTATAGTCAGGAACCTCTGTTCAAGAAGAGATTAGAGGTATAATGATAAAGAGATGAAGCAAACGCTCCAAGGGTTAAGAGTTACTTCAGTAGAGAACAACAAGGCTAACAGATGGACGCAGAGAATTTCAATCATCCAAAATGCAAACTTGCACCTGGACTGGATCTATGTCCCTCTTCAAGCAGTAACTGTGGACAAATGGTGCAGAGATGACTGAGGGTGACTGAGGAAGGAAGATCGGTGCTGGACTTGATACAAAACTGCAGTATAGCAACACATAAGCTAGATCAAGGAGCGTGAGGCACTGCAAAGTCAAGATTAATTACGATAGAAAGGACATGTCTACAAACTTAAATGATGAGTTAGTAGTGAAGGTTATTTAGTACCACTTAGGAGTACTATTGCAAATGATAAAATAGCCCTGCAGAGCACAAGGACTCTAACAGTAGATAAACTGAGAGCAAACAAAACATACTTGAAATACTTTATGTTGATGTACCATGTATTGCTGCAGCAGTCAGAATGAAATATTACAGTTGGATTTAAAAAAACAAAGCAAAACCCAACAAAAAACACATCCCCTTCTAAGCAGAGGACGAGGTCTGATGACTTCATTTTCATTTAAATATACACTACCTAATTCCGGTGACCACAATAACAACAAAAGCCAAAACAAATCAAACCCCTCTTTCTTCCAAAATTAGGACAATACAGTTAAGCAGATGAAGAGTGGAGTGTGGAGCAGAAAGGGAGGGGCTCTGGGAGTGGCATAAATGGTTTAATATAATAATCAGATACTGAAAGATGTTAAATGTAAAATAGTTGAGGATATAGCTGCATGTATTTACATGATTTAACAGTTTTACTGGGAGAGAATCTGAGGAAAAAATGTAGACAATCATGTTCTACTTGATCCCTGTTGCATAACTCCTACAAAATCTGATCAGTTCCATCATCACCTCCCTTCAGGCATCATGAAGTTCATATATTGTTATTCAAAACAACTCAGCAGACCACCTTTAAGCCAGAAACCATAAGAAAATAGCCCTAGATGTTATATATGCTAGCTTCTACTTCCTGAATAAATAAAAACTGGGATACCGAGCACACCTTTATATGGAGGAGGGGGAAGTTTCCAACTCCAGTTTCTGGGAGTTTTCAAACTTATTTTTATGCAAAACCAAATAAAGATACAAAACAACAGATAAGTTCTTCTCCAGAAAACTCTGAAAGTGAGGGATTTTTCTGTATTACAGCAGTTTTTAAAGCATTTCAAAGGATATATTTATTTTAGCCAGTTTTGATCTACAGTGCCTTATTTCACTGTGCCTCCTGTTGGTGTCTTTCCCAAAGAAAGTGTTCTGTGGCTTAATGAATAGATAAGACGTACCTGTTCTTCCCTTGACTTCTGTTGCTTTTGGTAAAAAAACAAAACAAACCAAAAAGCCCCCTCGCTGCCAACCTCTGAATCACAGGAAACCTCAAAAAGGCCAATTCCCTTATTCTCCCTGCTACAAAAGAAACAAAGTCTCCTCTGCTCTTTTGATAAAGCTCCTCTGTTTTCACTTGGAGAGGGAGCTGCAGTCCCTATTTACTCTCAGAGTGTGATCATATAGCCATTGACAGATGATTTTAGTTCCCATTAACTTCAGTATCAAACCCAGTATGAAACCTCTATTCAGTAGCTCAGACAAGCAGACAAAAATCCAAACAGACTTTAAATGCCCTTCATAATAGGTCTTCTACGTTGCACAAGCAGTATCTGAAAGGGCTGAAGAAAGAAAAATGAAAATGGATTCTTTATTTTTTTTCTGTATGATTATCATGTTGGTACCGAAGTTGTCATGCGCCAGTTCTGTTTCACCTTCCTCTTTGGCATTAAAATCAATCCGGCAGACAAAAATGACAACATTGTGTGTCAGCTACCAATCACTTGGGCTTGCTAAAATAAAAATAGTATGGTAAACCCAGCACTGTGACCTGAAGTAGGCAAACGTGCAGTGAGGATGCATGCGTGTCTCTGCTAAAGGTGCTTTCTAGAGAATGTCCTAGAATGCTCTCATCTACATTAAACAGTTACTACAGGAAAGTTTCTAAGTTTCATTAATTCTCTACCCAAATATCTGTCTGTAGATAGAAACACTCCATATCTTCTAGAGAACTTTTAGATTCAGTGCCAAGTTATTAACCCAAACAACAGTGAGGAGGCTGAGTGGAGAAGAGAAATGGAGAGACTTGCTGTTGACAGAAGAGAGAAACAGAAATGGTGCGAAATGCCAGTGATGGCAAAGAAATTGCTGTAATACAGTTGTGTCCTTTAATACTAGTAATTATTATTACAGGAATTACAGAGTTGTTATATATTTTGACATTAGGACTTATGAGAATCTTCCATGCAAATCATCCTTCTCATTAATGAGAAAAGTTATGCCTTATATCCACTAAAAATAATTGGGACAGTCAATAAAAGCCAAAGAAACAAATAAATATACTTAGATGCTCAGCTGGCTTCTGATAAAGTCCTTCCCCAAGCAACAAAAGAAGTAAAGACTTTCATAGACAGTACTGGTCTAGGTGACAGAAAAACAA